AATGACGGTATCACCAATTGTGGCATGTTACAGGCAAACAGTATGATCAAGTATGTCGTCTTTTTACATTTGAACATTGAGAGTTCATTGTAAAAACACAAACAGGTCTGCACTCCCACCTAAAGATGCTCCTCTCCATACAAGAACGTTGCTTTCTTCATATGTTAGACAGAAGATATCAAGTGTTAGTTTTTCTCTACATGTAAAAATTTCCAAATTCACTCTGTAAACCAAATCAGGGCTCAACAGTGCACAGAACAGACCTTTATTGATTTTTCAGTCCATGTTACATGACTACATGCCCAATTCCCACCTGTAGGCTGAACTGCTTGTTTTTGCATAGAAACTAACTTTAATTGTAATTTTACTTATTTATTTTTTACTGTTTGATTTTAAACATTTTCATTTGTGTTTTAGGTTTTGCTGTATTTTAAAATTTTTAATGAAGATTCAGTCTTTATGTATTTCTGCCTTGCCTCGAACCGAGAACAGAATTTGCTGAATTAGAAATACATCTCTAATGAAATTCATAGAAATAAGTTTAAATGAAGTGCAACCCAAAAAAGTGTACAATTTAATAGTCCGTAGAAGGAAGTGAAGTAATGTCCACATCAGATATTTTACAAATAATAAAATGAAAAGTAAAAAAAAAAAAAAAAAGACTATTACAAAAATACAAAAAAGCAGACTACGAAATCCACCCTTTCTATCTTAAAGATGATATCATCCATTTCAGAAAAATTTGAGAGCACATCTCTAAGACTGTAGAAGAAATATATTTGTAAAGCATTTTCTCTCATTCACTAAACATTTTATTTTCCTCTTAAGAATTATTTCTGAAATGTTACCAAAAAGCACTAATTTTTTTTTAAAAAATATTTCAACAAAAAATTTTAATTAAAAAAAATGTGAACAAAAATCCCCATTTAACTCAAATTCAAATTGTACATAAGTTCAAATTAGTAGTCCCTACTTTAAATGAGTTTGTTTCTAAATGTAATGTTATTTATGTTGAAACAATGGTAAAGTAGAAGAAATTTAAAAAAATCGAAATATAAAGTGATCAAAGAAAAACTGTTCATGTGGATAGCAAGATAAGTGATCAGTCTGATTAACAGAAGTAAGGAGGCAATTCAAAAAGGCCTTCCTCTCAAAGACAAACTTTATTAAACAGGTAGATTCCCAATAATAAAATACTATTAAACATAACTATGCAACATCTCAAAGCATCTACACAGAAATCAGTGTCAACACCCCAAAGCCATATCATGATGACTTGACAAACATCCATATTGGTTGTAAATCCTGTATAACCTAAGTGCTTCTTCAAAACCCAAGAGATGAAAATCAGTCAGAGCTACATTTGTATTCCAGAGAGGATTATCCAGTGCCTCTCTGTGGAAGCACTGTAACAAATCATGCGTAATGACAGCTGTATGCAGTCAGATTCTGTCATACTGGAGAAAATAAACAGCAGCATGCCCTGATGGTGTTAAAAAACTGCTATTGCAATTTTCTTTATGGATGGATCTGTTCTGAAGTTCTTAGAAAGGGGTGATTATGAGTGTTTCCATGACATGCATCTTCTAAAATATCTCGCATGAGCACATTTTCCCATAACCCACTTGCCAGTGAACAATAGTGTACATACTACCCATCGAAATGTTCAGACTCTTAGCAAAAATGGAAGTTCCTTTGCTTATTGATGAACATACGTTAAATATCTGTCATACCTTTTTCCTTCCCGACTCATCACTGCCCATCCTCTTTAAGACTTTAGCTTAGTTTTAGACTTAGTTGAGTAGACAATTAAATTCCTCTTCAATTATTCTTTGGTTGTTATAATGATTTGATTCTGTTCAATTTTTCAAGGCTGAATAAACTGCCAATGAATGCAATTAAGGACTGTTTATATATTGAACATCATCTCTTTTAACTCATTTCACGCCGAGCTTCGTAATTTTGAACATAGCCAAATTTAATCAGAACTTCAACAAAATAAACACTGTCATTTATAATGGCTATTAGATCATTGTTCATTTATTACATCTATTCAGCCTTTATCTAACTCATATACTAAAACACACCTTTTATGCAATATAGCATTAGCACCATACATCTTCACAATGAATTCCTCCTGGTGCGAATCAGTTTAGATACAGAGTGTTTATCCCTTTTTACACATCAAAATTCAACTACATTTCCTTCATACAGTTATTTTAATACTGATACTTCACTGCATTTATATAAAAACTTGACCAGAACTGGTAACTTTCAAATATTGTGGCTGCTTCTGCTCTCCATGCAAAAAAAAAAAAAAAAAAAAAAAAAAAAAAAAAATGACAAAAACTTATGACACACTTGCTACTTTATTTTTTAACTTATGTTCATATTCTGCATGAAAACACAGAAGATATTTGAATAAATCGAATTTATTAAGCTGAAAAACTGTCAAAAATCCACAAAGAGCAAATATAAAATTACAAATACGGTAGAAGTCCAGAAATCTGTAAAGCTTGGGACCAGAGGTTGTGCAGATTTTTGGATTTCAGGACAGAAAATATAAATCATAATATTCAGACTAAAAGTGCAAAATAAATACGGCATGTTAGATACATTTAAATAGATATGTATGCACATTATTATGTTATTTTATATATATATATATATATTTATTTATTTATTACATTATATTATTTCTTTATATTAGCAATTACAGAGATATTTAAAAGTATACAATAAAGACATATAAAAATAACGGATATTAATAAAGCATTAAATGTTTAATTTTGTTTTACATGTTTCAAACATTTTTCAGATAGAGCTTTAGGATGCTCCAGAGTAAGTTTCCCTCAACCTAAATTACACAGAGTCATAACCTTTTGCTCTGTGACACAGTTCTGTTGTTCTGAAAATTATAGTTATTTTTAACCATGCTTCAAACCCTCTTTAAAAGATATTTTCTCACTCCTATCAATTTCACTATCTGGGTCAGTGTCGGAATCATTTTCTCACTGTGGCACATTCAAAACAGAGCCAATGATTTCATCATCGGTCATTTCATGTGCTGGTGTTGGCTCATCTGAACACAGCCATTCAACGATAATTTCTTCTTGCAAAGCCTCCTTATTTATTCTTTATTTTGAATATAAAAGCAATTCTCTTGCTTTAACCCTTGCTGCACTGAGCATAAACAGCATTTTGTATCTAAAACTTCAAAGAACCCAAATTTAAAACAATTCTGAACTCAAACTGGTTTGTATACTTTAGTTTGAAGATATATAAGATCATGATTCACTCCATACATATTGTTACGAATTCTGTACTTAGATAGGCAATTTTAGTGGAATTATAGGTAAAATGATTGTATTTCTTTTGTATAACGTAACATGGAAAATCTTAATGAGATACGCCGGAAAAGTAAGAATACAGGGTAAAATCCATTTAACATTGAGTAAATGGGTATCTCGGTAATTTCATGAGACATTGCCAAGCTGACAACAGTTTTGGCTATTAAGGAAGAAATCTTGCATCATTTGTAATTAAAGAACTCTGCAAGCTAATCGGCATTGATAAAACCCAAGTGACACCTTTACAACTCCACTCAGATGGCATGGTGGAAAGGATTAATCGTACCATCCTTAATAACCTCTCGGTGGTGGATTCCAGAAACTAACAAGACTGGAACAAGAAGTTATGCCAGTTCTTACTGGCTTATCGCAGTACTGTCCATGAAACTACTCAATATTCCCCATCCCAGATGCTCTTCGATCGTTACCTCAGTCTGCCTTGTGATCTCTTGTTTGGTCACTCTCTGGATGCACCTTCATTGCCAGAGGAATACATACAAGATCTCCAGGACCAGTTTGAAGTGATGCACAATTGAGCATGAGAGGAAGTCAGCTTGGCGATGGAGAAGCTGATGACCCAATGAGAGCTACAGGACATCAATCCAACAAAGGAAACAAGATGTGGTTGCGAAATCTGATTAAATGGAAATGATTCTTTCTTAAATTACAGTCACTTTGGAATGGTCCTTACATAGTCCTTAAACAGGCTGAACAATGTAATAGTTTGGATCTATAAGTCATCAAATTCTAAGATTAAAGTCGCTCATTATGATAGGCTAGTTCCATACTATGGACACACAATGTAGTGTGTGATGGTGTGGGGTGTAGTGTGTGATGGTTTTTAATCATCCTGAGTACATCTTTCACAGCTCAACAATATTGTGATACTATCCTGCGGCTGGTTGCATTACCCTTCATGGCACGTCATCCTGGGGCCATTTTTCAACAAGATAATGGCAGGCCAAATACCGTTCGCAAATCTCTGGACTGTCTTTGTGTGGTTGATACTCTTTCTTGGCCAGCAAGGTCACCAGACCTTTCAGAGCATATCTGGGGCATGGTAGGCCGCCAGATTCGAGCACCACACACAATATCATGATGGAGCACACTTGATGAATGCCTCACAGAATGTGTCGCAGGATGACATTCGCCTCTGTCACTCCTGCCTTGAAATTCGTATGCATTGCTGCCCGGGATGGTTTGACCAACTACTAATCTGAATACTCAGTGGGTGATTGAGGAAAACAGGTACTATGCCTTGACTTTTTACTCATTTTATTATCTGTGTAGAGCTATACACATATTTAATTTGTCAAAAACCGCCCTCCTCATGGTGCTTCTATTTTTTGCAAAATAGTGTATTATACATCGGCAATATTCCAGATTACTTCGCAGCTTCAAAAGACAATAAATGTAAGCACACAATGGGAAATTATCAGCTTTATATCTTGACTTCATAAATTATAGATCATAAAAGTCAACATGTATTAATATGTAAAATTATTTTTAACACCCGACTTCCTGTTCTTAAAAATGTGGAAAATTAAGCAGATTTAGAATGAAGAAAGAAAGAAGATAGGTAAATTATATACCTAATTCAAATCATTCAGTAGAAAACTACATTATTTGATCTTAAAATATTTGAATACCGATATAAGAAGCAATGAGGAGATCCATTGAATATCTACAAAACGTCTCAGCATGCAGTAATCTCAGCCTGATTTACAAGAGCATGATATGTACAACAGTGAAAAAAAATTTCTCAAAATAGTATTAAAAAGTAAAACAAGGATAATGTTAATAATTCTTAATGATAACTGCAGAAACCAATTTGATACTAGAAATGTTTACAGTTAGGCTCAATTGTGTTTCTTAAATAACAGAGATTAACTACCATTAGTCAAGCAAGCTGACTGGCAAATTGCCAATTCGACAGTGTCAGTCTTCAGGGAAAGATCACTAACCATGCATATTTATTGAAATGCCAATAGCAAATATGTTATCTTCCAAGAAATGATTTGAATTCATTTTTCATATTACAAATATACACTGCAATACAGCATGTGTAACAAACCGATCTAACCATTCTCAAATTTTATTATTTAAATTTTAATAATATACCTATTACAAGAGACACAACTAAAAGAATATAAAAGATTTACATAAATGAATTAACAAAATATTTTAACAATTTAACAAAATTTAACAAAGATGTTTCAATACCAGATATGTCGGCATTGCAGACCTGTTGCACAGCTAGGTCACATAACTAAATGCAACTGGCATTGTTGAATATCAAAATCACAGAGATATACAGAACAGTAATTTTAAGTTAACAGATTAAGGTAAAGTTAATTTTGTTTTCTGTACAATAGGTATTAAAGAATCAATTTTGCAGTTTCCTTTACCAATCGGTTTTAATATTTATTATTTCATTGAGTGATGCAAAAGTAATTTTGCCTTAAAGTTTTATATCGAATATGATTCAATCACAAATACACAGAAAATCACAGAGTATTGAATTATCATACACATTCATTCTATCATTCACACTCTACTGGGATGAAGATAAAAATTTACCCACCATTTATAAAAATATTTTTAGATACATTGTGTAATTTAAATGACAAAAGCTTTATAAATTACTTTTACAATTATAGTAATGCATTTGTTATTTTACAAAAATCTTAAAATTTACATGCCATATCGCTAAAAAAAGAATTCCCCCCTTTTGTTATTTTGGGGTCGGAATTTGGGTGTAATCGAATAATTGATAAAGAAACTGCAAATGAGAGGTGGGAATTAATACCATACAAGTAGTGCAATTGCTGTTTAAATTCTAAATAAACTACACAGGTAATGGATACATAAAGTGCACGACTACATTAATTATAACAGCTAGATGTAATGAACGATTTCAGTTCAGGCCGCATGCACTGTACTGGTTACCCGTAATGTATGAAACAATAGACAACAAATATCACCGACTTACTTATTTTTACCTAAAAACAATGGTAAAATGGTATTTAATTAAGCAGCTTAATCTTTTATTCTAAGGAGAATCAAAGAATTTTCATCAGATATCACATATAATGATGTCTTAAAATTGATCCGAACGCAAGATATTCAAAAGTCTTATTTCAAGAACAATGTAAATTTTGTACAGTTTAAGTAAATCGGTTGATATAAGTAATAAAAAGAGACCACATAAAAAACCCACAGAAGATGCATTAAAAAAATAGTCATGATTGTCCATAAAAAAATATCAGAAGATAAAAAACCATATAGAGGCAGATAGAAATATTTATGCAATCACTGAAAAATTTATCTATACAAAGACAATTTATAACTGAAATTATACTTAGAATTAATGGATTTAAATAGAAAAATTATAGAAATTTTATACTGAAAATTATTTTGATCTGAATTCTTCATATTTCTTGGCAAAGGCCTAATCCCCAATGGGCGGGATTTATTAATTCATCTTCACAGTGCAAATCTCAGGGAAACAGCAAAATACAAAAATAGAACAGCCCATAGAAATGATCCTTTTGGGAATGCAATAATAAACTTTTGGCCAGTAAAAAGCAACAGAATTTTAATATTTCCTTGGACAGTAGTTTCAAAACAATCCCAATAAAAATATAATAATATCTTGTTCAAAAGCATGAATTTAATACAAATTAATTAATTCTACCATTGCTGCAAGGAGAAATGAATTTAACAAACATATATACGTAAAAAAGCAAATTAAAGTTAAAAATAATTAAAAAAGTGCAAACATAGAAAAGATTAATTTCGAACTAATCAATCATTTAAAAGAAAGCATAAGTAAATCAGTGCAAAACCAAACCATGAAAGAAATTCACCAATTAGCAAATTAAAATAAAATTTTTTTTTTTTTTAAATCATAAGGGAATGAGGGGGAGGAGACAGACTTATCAAGGGGGTTGCCTCCAAACAATCATTACTATGCATTTTTAAAAAAAGATGAATTTAATTTGCTAAATTGGTGAATTTATTTTCTGGTTGGTTTGCACTTTTTACTTATGCTTTTGAATTTAAATGATATTGTAGATTAGTTCGAAAAATAAATCTTTTATAGTTTGCACTTTTTTTTAATTATTTTAACTTTAAATTTGTTTTTTTACATATATACAGTTTGTTAAAATTTATATTATATATATATATATATACACACACCACACATATAACATAATGCAATTAGTTTGTTCTTACAGTTAGCCTGTCAGCCATGACACGAACAGCTTAAAATAACTTCGTAATACTTATATAGAGGCAATGCAAAACTGCTTTCAGATGCATCATTTTATAAAACAGATAAAATTATAAAACATTGTGGTTTAGTAATGTGCATATTAAATATAAATTTATAAAAATAAATAGTACTATTTTTCTCTCGAAATCCTACTAAATGAATAACAAGATCAGAGCCAGATTTACGTATAAGCTACACAAGCTATAGCTTAGGGCCCCTACTTTCTTGGGCTCCCCCCCCAAAAAAAATTAAAATATAGTATAAATAGTATTAAAATACATTATAACAGACTTATAAAGGGTCCCATATTTCAAATAGCTTAGGGCTTTATCAAGTCTAAATCTGGCTCTGAACAAGATGTATTGCAAGCCACAGTAATCAATCATGTAAGTGGTGCTGAAGCAATTTCACTTTCAAAGAGCCATCTAAGAATTTTTCCGTCTTTCTGCGCTGTCTCTTATTTTGGTCCAATTTACATTTGAAAAGAGTAATATCCTTTCTTTATTATAACTTTTTAAATGCAAGCAAAAATTCTTGGTAGATGCCATGTCTACACAGCTCACATTTGCGTTTTTACATCGTGTTTGGCATTTTAGAATAAAAGCGTCTTCTGATTGTTCAGTTTCTTCTAGCTCGAAATGAAAGCATCTTAGTGATAGGCTCATTGGCTCTACAAACGGTCAGATTTAAGTAGTATGAGAGTATCGTTCAGTGCGTAAAGCCATTCTTTCTCTTTAATGTTTATATCTTTTTTATGCAGAATAACTTGCATAAAAAGTTAAAACTAGAGTACTCTCATGGGATCTAAAGAGAGATGACTGTCATACAATACTGCATTTAAACTTGAAATTTTGAACTTCACTTCAAAGTAGCTGAAAAGCGTTTCCACCCACCTCCAAGTGAGAAGACGATATGAGAAAAGAGGAAGGAGAAGATGGATTTAGTGAATGCATATAGGAGTAAAATTACTTTATGTTCAGTTTTTTTCCTAAATGGCCGAAATTTGAAGAACATGTTAAGAATTGGATAATAAATTGCAGAAGAATGGGATTACTATTACAACAAAAATGATTTTAACTGAAGTAAGAAAATTAGCTCTAGATATGTCTATTCCGATTTTTTTGGGACATTGTCATGGTGCAAAAGATTCATGAATAAAACCGGTCTATTCATGCTGTAATGTATTTTGCAGTAATTAACAAAACAGGCAATCTTCTTAGTAGAACATAAATTTTATTTCTAGTTCACAGAGATAGATAATTTGAAGTAATTTTTTAGTGGCAAAAACTTCAGAATCCTCATTTTTAAAACAATTTCTCACGTTGCTGAGCAACGGTTACATAATAATAATATGGTGTTGCCACATCAACAATAATTTAATTAAATAATAAATAAATTTATTAAATAACAAGATATTACAATGCGTACAAAACTACAATAGTACAAAATCTGCCACTTGACTATGAAAGAATAATAGAATTCCACAAACACATCATGTTTGTGATGTATTTGTGGAATTTGAGATAAAAGATTAGCTTTAGATTTCCAACAGAACAGTGGATATTAAAGGTGCTACGATGATAATGATAAAGACTTATGGTAGTGAGAATATGCACTGTATTGCTGTTCTCACATGTTATGTTGATGGTTTAAAAATCCTTCTTTTGTTAAATGTTAAATGAAAAATGCTGCCTAAATGTAAAATTCTACATGGAATTTAGACTAATGTTCATTCCAAAGGATGGATGGAAAAAGAGGGTACGATGCTGTGGTTATAGAAGGTCTGATACATGCATCCAGGTGGAATTCTGAAGAAATCGTCTTTATAAGTGTACGATCAATTTAAGGCCCAAATATCAGAGTCAGCAAAAATACAGAACTACTAATCCTTTGCTACTGAGCTGAACTGATGCATCTTTCTGCTATCCCTCGTTGATTAACTTCTCAACTAGAGTCTCTGGATGTTTCAGTCAATAATTCATTCAAAGGATTTATGCATAAAAAATGGATAATATAGACAGAGGCACCAACTCATCATGTCATACTGATGGTAAGAAACGGATATCAGTTTCTAGGGTTTGCGAGTTGTTGAAAAAGGCGTGACAAAAAATTAATAGCGAGACTATCATACTTTTAAAAAGTGCGGAATTAGCAATGCAGATACTTTTCTGTTTTGCCAGGGCAAATGATAAAGTCGCCAATAATGGTACAACTGATGCCAAACGGAATATCTTTGCTGGTAACCTTTTATGCTTCATTTTTCAAAACAAGTCACAGCTTTTTCTTATCAGATTGATTGTTTCTTTCAATACTGGCATACAATTACATAGAATGTTTACAAGATAGTTAAATTTTATGTACTAAGACCATTCGCGATAATTAAGTCAATTAAGATGCAATCACACTACTCACCCTAAG